GTAGGCACCGGCAGATATTCCTGTCGACCTCCCCGCGTCTCCACTCTGCTGATAAGCAGGCGAGGTCCAGCGATTCTTCTCAGATGTATGAGAGGAACACACCGTTCTTCCTCTCTCCCCTTTGGTGTCCCCAGGGAGGGAAAGAAGCAGACAGAAAACTATTTACATCATTTATTTCTGCCTCTTACATCAGTACAGAGAATCATGTCTGCACTCAACAACAGCAAGAAGAAACTCCTCCCAAGTACATCCAGTACGGGTCATATGACACACACACACTGAGCTAACATCCGGTGCTCAGTACAGAATGGACTGCCCCTTTGTTCCCATGGCAACAGTCACAAACATCCTGTCTGGCTTTCCAGCCACAAGCAGCTGGCTGAGCTGCTAGAGCCTTTGCTTGCTGCAGCATTGGTGCTTTATGGTAACAGGTGGTGCAGGGAGTATATCATAACCCTGGCTGGGGTCAAAAACAGGGCCTGGGAGGCAAAGGAGGGAAACCAGAAATTCCCTGGGACATCAGAAAACATTTGCTTATATTGTGTTGAAAACTAGCACTTAACATTTTGTGTTAGCCTACATAAAACGCCACAGCACTCTACTTCCCTGCCCATTTCCTCTTCTGCCAACTTGCTCGTCCCAACTTCTCCCAGGCAATCTGGAGAGGCGGCACTGAAGTCTCAGCAAATGATAGTGTGAGTGGGCAAGGCGAGAAGGAGGGCTTGCCTTGCCTCTCCTGCAGGTGATGTGCTCTGCCTACTTGAGGGGACTGCTATCTGCCAGTGAGGGGCAAAACAAGTTTCAGAGCTGACAGCAACCCACCTTCAGGCAGAGGAGGGCGAAGTAGCTCATTGCCACCATTATCATCATGAACAGATGATAGCTGGTAAAATTATCTTTTCCAAACAACTCTCCTAAGAATCAGTTAATATTTGCATTGATTCAAATTATATTTGTAAAGGTATAATAAAACAAAACCAAATGCCCCTAAGATATTTCATAGTGCTCTGCTTTATTAGTACTGTGAATAGAAGATTGGATAATTGTTCATCTCTACGTATTTTAACTTGGTTCTTTTTCTGTCAAAAAGTGTTCTTCATTTGGAATTATTGGTTCGCCTGAGAAACAGTGTCAGTCAGATATAATGAACAAGGAATTGTAAAGTCTATTTACAACTGAGCACCACTCGAATTATTTCAGCCAACGTACAACAAACTGCTTTGCATTTGTTCACCCCAGGAGTACAAACAAAAGTTTTGATTTATTATACCATTCTTTGACTACTAAGTCATGTGAAAAGTTGTAGCATATCTCACTGAATGCATCTGTTATTTCCTTGCACCAGTATATAGACTTTTATCTTAGGAATCAAAAAGAACACAAGGAGAAAGCCTGATAATATTACAAAATAGTACAATCATTACCTACCGGTGACCCACCTACACATAAAAGCGTTAGTAAATATCTGCTTGTCTTTCCATTTAGTGTTGACATTATTGGGCTGTAATAAGCCATACTGAGAGGGTACATTTACCTCTGATTGCTTCCCCCCCAAAAAAATCAGTTCTTCCATCAGCTTTTATGGGTAATGACTCACAACGGATGGAGCTCTTTTATGTAACCGGGGAGATCGATTTCTTCTCTCCGCTGTTTTGGCCAATTCAAAATATGTTCATCCAACCTGTTTTAGAAAAAGCTCTCAGCAGGCCTGGTTTCAGCACATGGTGCCTTTAGGCAGCTGCCAGGATCCATTTCTGTGCTGGTGATGCCTACCCTGACCCCTTGTACCGGGAGGGTACTCCATTTTAACTTCCTGCAACGCACTTGATGCAACATAACGACTCAGCCATTTTGGGAAGTTAAAATGGCCGCCAGACCAATTCAGAATGCTGCCTGCTACCAATATAAGGCAGGAGGGGATCCACCAGGGGATCCACTCTGCCCTGAGCCCCCTCGTTCCTGGAGCTGGGCCTGTTTCTCTTATCATTTGAGTCTCTTAAGCTCTAATATTTGTTTTCCACCTCATGTCTTTGTCCCCAGTGCACACAAAGCTTAATAACTAGCCAGCATTATTATTTAAATAGGATTTCCAAGGCTGCAAGCCTATGCCCACTGACCTGTGTCATTTGAGAGGAAGGGCAGGCTATAAATTCAATAAAATAAATGAATGAATAATCCACCACCTTCCGAGGGAGTCTGTTCCACTATTGAATAGCTCTTACTGTCAGAAAGTTTTTCTTAATGTTTAATTGGAATCTCCTTGTAATTTGAATCCATTGGTTCAGGTCCCAACTTCCAGAGCAGGAGAAAACAAGCTTGTTCCTTCTTCCCTGTGACAGCCCTTCAGATATCTGAAGATACCCACCTCTCAGTCTTCTCTTATCCAAGCTTGGTGGTGGTGGTGGTGGTGGTGGTGGTGTTGTTGTTTAGTCGTTTAATCGTGTCTGACTCTTTGTGACCCCATGGACCAGAGCACGCCAGGCACTCCTGTCTTCCACTGCCTCCCACAGTTTGGTCAAACTCATGCTGGTAGCTTCGAGAACACTGTCCAACCATCTTGTCCTCTGTCGTCCCCTTCTCCTTGTGCCATCCATCTTTCCCAACATCAGGGTCTTTTCCAGGGAGTCTTCTCTTCTCATGAGGTGGCCAAAGTATTGGAGCCTCAGCTTAAGATTCTGTCCTTCCAGTGAGCACTCAGGGCTGATTTCCTTCAGAATGGATAGGTTTGATCTTCTTGCAGTCCATGGGACTCTCAAGAGTCTCCTCCAGCATCATAATTCAAAAGCATCAGTTCTTTGGCAATCATTTCCTTCCTTCCTTCCTTCCTTCCTTCCTTCCTTCCTTCCTTCCTTCCTTTCTCCCTCCCCAATTGGTCACCCTCCTCTGCATTAAAAAAAAAAAAGTGTGACAAGTTAATGGGAAGATGGGTAAACGCTACCCAAACCAATCAGAACAAATGCCCAGTAAAGATTACACATAGCCTAGCCTTTGCATAAGCTTTGCATAAGCAAATCGGGATGAATGCTCAATAAACAGGTTATCCGGAGGAGCCCTTATACCGCAGCACCACAATCCAACATGCACAATATGTGGAGATTGCAGACTTCTGTGCAGCTCTTCCCTGCTGGATAGGGAAAAGTCACTCAGGTGCATGCTGTCATATGGTTCATGCTATGTTATTTGTGGACTATGTTATGAAAGAGACAGACAAAGCTGCAGAGGTCCTGGTCCTTCAAACTCTTGCAGAATTTTAGCGCTCAAGGCGATGCTCTTCCTTCTGCAAGAACTTACCCTTTCATTTCAATGGACTGTTTGCAAACAAAGAGATTCACACTCAGAGCCGGTCACTTTCAACGTAAGTGAATGGGGAAACCACTTGTGTAGGAACTCCCAAGTACGCATCAAGTGTGAACATGGCCCTAGATCAGGTCAAAGGACTATTCTTCTAGAACAACTGACTACTTGCTTCAGAGAAGTGTCTCAGTTTCGCTGCCATTTCCATGAATCAGCTAAACAACTGTGACAAAGTAGATAGCCATGTACAATCTGAAGATCTCAACGGGCAAACTCAGTGTACAATGACTACACATTTTCCATAAAATTCACGTTGCACCTTTTGACTATTTATTTAGCCTATAAGAACTTCAGGGTAGAATATAAAGTTTCCTGCGTAACTGGTTCCTAATGTGAATTTACACTGGTTTACAGCAATAGTGTATTCTTACTCAAGCTATGTTCTGTGTATATCTAGAAGAAAAAGAAAAAGCAGTCTCGCCACAGAATCAGTAGAAATCTGGCATGTGTTCTGAATAATGTTGATGCTCTTTTTTCCATTTAAATGGCTTCTTGACTTTATTTTTCCGCTGTGGATACTGACAATGCAATTAAGTGTGGGGAAAACTGTCAATTGGAATCAACAGCATTGTAGCTTCCTGGCTGGTGCCAGCTTCAATAAATGAATAAAGATTGATTAGCATTTCTCTGTCAAACTTGGTTGCTGATTTAAGCGGAATGGGAAAATCGAGTTTACCTTTATCATTGAGTTGGAAACGATCTCAGAGTCCACCTACTCCAAGCCTGTCCAGGTACATTCCTGATAGCTGGATATCCAGCCTCTGCTTTAAGAACCGCAATGAAAGAGAGTCCACCACCTTCCTAGGAAATATGTTCTGTGTTGCAGTGGGAAACCTGCACTCAAATTATTGGTGGGAGTGCTTTCCCCCCTCCCTCTCAGCAAAACAGAAAAAGCCTCAGACAGATTTTTACTGTGGAATAATGCATGCATTCTGTCAGCACATGCACTTTGGGCTGCCTGACAGAACTTCCCCTCCCTCTCCTATTCCTGTGCGTGCCTCCTAAATCTCTTCTGGGTTTTCATACAACCCTCCAGAGCAGATTTGGGGGCGTGCATGCGGGTGTTTGTGGGAAGAGAAGAGGGAAGGAAGGTTTCATTCTACAAATGTAAATCCTTGCACTAATGGAACAAATCCATTGTATGCTGCCCTGTGGTTTTAAAATGCGATCTACTCAGCACATTTTTGTCATTTTCTTCTGATGACATCTTCCCTAGCTGTCACACACACACACACACACACACACACACACACACACACACGAGAGATAGAGAGAGAGAGCAAGAGAGAGAGAGCTTAATGTCAAAATAGTCTTCTAAGTGGTTTTTTTGTTTTAAGTTGTCACCAGCATTAGATATACTAAGTCTCTTTTGTCCCCCACCCTGTGGGGAAAATTTCACAATGGATAATCTTGCCTCTCTGCTCTTTTGACTCTTGGGTGCTGCCTTTCTGCTTAGTGTCTGCTTTCTCCTTACTTGATTGTGCCAGTGGAGCTACATAGCTAGAAGAGATTCAACACTTCTTTGTCTAGTCTTTGTTTCCACAGCTAGAAAGGATCCACCACTCCCATAGCAGCGCTTGTGAGATGAATTCATACATCATTATAACATCACTTTTGTTTATTTTTAATAGCAATAAAAAAACCTACACCAGTGAAAACTCAATAACGCTACAAGAAGTGTATTTTGCTGCTTCAACTATTTCCCAAAGTAAACCTGTATCTCAGATTAAGGATCCTTCCCCCTTTTAGTAGAATAGATACAAAGCACAGTCAGGAGGTGTTTGGCCAAACCAATTATCAAGCAGACAGTACACAGCGGGAGAGGTGGTGGAAGGAGGGAATTAGGGGGGAAATCCCATAGCTCAAAGATAGCACAAATCCTGTATCCGAAAAGCATCCTGGTGCAGATTTGCTAAAAGAGATTCTGCACACCAGTGTTAAAGCATAATACTTGAAAGGGTCCTAATGCTTAGAAAGGTTTGCTGGTTGAAAAGGCCTCATTACAATCCCAGCAGCAGACAGAGCAGATTTGTAGTGCTTTCATGAAATAGCATATCAAACGAAGAACTGCAAAGGGGCAGTAAAATTAGCCCAGCCATATGAAGACCACAGTGGTACCACTCCTTTCCATGCTACTAGTATGATGTGAGAAGGTGACTTGGGCCACCCCAAAGGATCCTCATGCCATGGTTTATTTGCATGCCAGCATAAAACCTTAGGAAATTGCATTACCGGGGGAAGTTGCTGCTGCGCCTCTCAGATTTCCTTGTGGTGCAGGAAGGAGCAGGGTTGCAGCAGCCACTGTGCCAGAAGTGTAACACAAGTCCTGGGATTTAGGTTTTAGCATTTGCATTCCAACTGCAATGTAATATACATGCAGGGCTAATGCACATTTGGGCTGGGCCTCAAATGTAGATATTTATATGGTTTTGGCATTTGGTAAGTTTCCCAACTTGTTTTTCTGTGCATTGGACTAAAATGTGACCCACTCTCTCAGCTTAGAGCTGCAAATATGAGCAAATAAGAGATGCAATCTGGCAAAATACTTTTTTGTGTATTAATGGACAATAGACTTTGTCACGGTAAAGAGTTAAAAACCTTCATAGGTATTAATAAACTAGGGCCTGGAACTGGGGTTTGTGAAAGGAATGAAAGGGCACTTTCAATATGCCTTGGCCATCTCAAAAGCAATAGAAGTACACCCTAATGTTGTACCCTGTCCATGAGAATTTCACTGACATTTTCTCTTCCCTGTGATAATTTTCAAATGCAATTTCTTTCCTCACTGACTGCTCGAGAATGGTTGAAAAAATGGAGAGGAAATTTTCAACACAGCGGTATGGCAAATGCTGGGCTGGAAACATGTCATGGCCAAACGTGTCATCCTGTAGTATATCGTATGTCTCAATCTTAAATTCAACACAACAACACAGTACTCAGGCAAATAAAGCAATTACAACTCCAGTGGTGTCCTCTCTTATAGTAAGTTGCCCAGTGCTTGCTGAAGTTGAGCAGCAGTATTACAGGCCATGTGTTTTCTGAAGAGAAATTTCATGGCATATGAGCACCAGGTTGGCTAATGAGAAGAGCCTGAAATAGCATTCTCGACGCAGTCGGTGATCCACGGTCGTCGAGGCATCATGAGCTTCTCGGATAAATGGGCTGGCGAAACAGTCTTGGCCTGATACACAGTTGTGCAAGCTCTGAAAACAAACACATGTGTGTTGCATTAACATCATTCTCTATACCCATGAAACACGAGCTACACAATCTACTTGACCGAAATCAATAGCCATTATCACTTGCTGTGTAAATGTTGGGTTTGACCCAGTCACAGTTACGCACTTTGAGCTCCCTTTGATTCCCAGAAGAAAGTTAAACATACAGCCTGTCATTGAAATAAATCCACTGAACATTAACTGGATGGTGCGCCTTCTGTTTCAGGGCAGCTGGAGTCTTTTAGGTCATAAATTGTAAGTGTTCCTCCTTAACTGCTGTTTTATTTTTTTATTTTTAAGTGTGGAGAATGGTTGTTTTTGCTGAGGGCCACTTATTCTGTCAGTAAACATACTTATGGTGGGTGGGGCCAAAGCCAGAAATGGGTGGAGCTTGAAGGATTGCATAAATATTCTCTATACAACCCAATTTTTTCTCTTGCATGGGTGTAGCCGGGGTGGGGGTATCTGCCACCCAATCAAGTAAATAAATAAAAAGAGTTAACTAAAAGTAGAAATAATCAGAATATTTCAACTAGAAATGCTCACTGAGGTCACTTGGATGTTTGGCAACCCAACTGAGTGACAGGCATGGCTTCCACAAACTGACCAATCGCATTGCAGGTAGCTTGGTTCTGGAACAGGATAGGTGGGTGTCCTGCCCCCACCCCCAACATAAATCCTGGCTACCCCCATGTTCTCTTGCATTCCACACCGTGGGGCGGGGGGGGGGCTGTCTTATGGTTCTGAACTTTATTTTACAGTATAAAATAACACTTTTCCCTACATTTAAGATTACAATTTGACTCAGCACATACTGCCTTGCCTGATACATGCAGTACACAATTCATTTCATTTCTTATTCAGTTCATGTGCATTCCTCATGTGTCTTGTCTGTTTTACTGGCAATTGTGAAACTCTCCGTTTGTCTTGGAACCAAATAGGAAAAGGGTTCCGCAGGATTCAGAAGCCACACACTATGGAAACAGGACGTTCTCACACATTTCCTGTGAAGCCCTGCATTCCCCACACAAACATTGCAATTACCTGGTCTTTAACAAAGTCAGCAGGATTATCGCCAGCACCAAGATTATGCAAGAGGTGTATATCATTATAACGATTGTGTCCGCTAAAAATTAAATTATGGAAACAGAATTAAAACATTGATCAAAGAGTATTTTATGCAGTCACTATAGTACAAATTAAAACCAAATATTCGCTGTCCTCAGCTTAAAATCTCCTAGGGTCTCGATCACCATATTTTATTTTTTCTTTCGGCTTCTAACAACTATCCCTGAAGGAGGTTTCTATGTTAAGTTTGCTTCCAGGATTCTTAATAATAATATTTAAAAGTTTGGTTTGATTCCTTTCCTTGACCCCTTGATTGGTGCTTTTTTTAAAATTTTTGTTCTGTGGGAGCCTATGCCTCTCATAACATTGTGGCTCTCCAATGACCTTGATGGGAGCTTTTTCATTCTTTTTTAAAAAGCCAAACTTACTGTACAATGAAGACCGTTCTCCAGTTACAGGAAGTATTTTTCCAGGTAGAACCATATGTGATGAGTAAAGGTCAGCTTTTCCACCTGATATCTGAGCTGTAAATAGAAGAGGATATAAAAAGAGAGCAATTGTGTGAAAGCCAGCAGGGCCTGCAACAAAAGGCTGGATTATGAAGTGCTTCTGTCCAAGATTCCACCCTGTCATCTGGGCCCTTTTTCAGGATACTTCATTCCACCACCTCTCAGATTTCTGTCCCTTTGCCCACTGCCGCAACAGCCAGCCAGTAACCTGTGCCAACGGAGCTTCTTCAGTCCCCATTGGGTAATTAAAAAAACACAAACTCTTGTAGAGTTTCCCCCCCTTAAATATTTTGTGTACTTCTGCAACTCTTGGGAATCCTCTAAACCTGCTGATGTCTTGTTTTTGTGTGTGCCTGGTGCCAATTTTGCTAGAATTCCCATTTTATCATAAGGAATCTTCTTTCCCCCCCTCTTAGCAGATGAAGCAAACTTTTAAGTTGCAAATGGTTAACTGGTTGACTCATTCATTTGTTCCCACATAATGGGACCTCCTGGTAAAGGTACAAGGCAAATTGTAAGGCCTGAGCAGGTTGATTATGAGGGAGGTGCTCCTTTGGGTTAGTTCAACTTACTGAAGCAGTATTTGCTGTGGAGGATATGATGGAACCACTTGCATGCAGTCTGCTTAGCTAGTGGCGTTGTGTCACAGGTACACTCGACTCCTCGAAGGACAGACCCCCACATTCCGACATAAGCAGCTCGGCACTCATCACTGTCAGAACACATCAGATCATTTGCATCCAAAGATTCGAAACAAGCTTTATCTTCAAGGCATTGTCGGGCAAAGGGTTTTAAACACTTAGATGTAAATGCTTCATACTTGGCCCTGTGGAAAGAGAAATGTGTATGTATTTTATTCTTCCTGGTATTCCCTTTCATCTGGGACACAGGTGGTGCTGTGGTCTAAACCACAGAGCCTAGGGTTTGCCGGTCAGAAGGTCAGCAGTTCGAATCCCCATGATGGGGTGAGCTCCTGTTGCTCGGTCCCTGCTCCTGCCAACCTAGCAGTTCAAAAGCATGTCAAAGTGCAAGTAGATAAATAGGTACTGCTCCAGCGGGAAGGTAAACGGCATTTCCATGTGCTGCTCTGGTTCGCCAGAAGCCGCTTAGTCATGCTGGTCACATGACCCGGAAGCTGTACGCCAGCTCCCTCGGCCAATAAAGTGAGATGAGCGCCGCAACCCCAGAGTCGTTCGCGACTAGACCCAATGGTCAGGGGTCCCTTTAACTTTACCTTTATTCCCTTTCATGTATAATTCAGGGAGAGCTGAAGGATAGATTAGCAAATAACAAAATGAAAGAAAAATGAAGATTTTCTTGTAAGTGACAAAACAAGGGACATATAGCTTGGACATGTTCATAACCTAAAGCCTCATACCCTCAATGGGGAGCTATGTTTGGGAAGTTGAAGCTGGGGAGGTGGGTTTAACTTTTCCCCGCCCCCATGTGCTATGATCCTCAAAATCGAAGATAAACAAGAGACATTGCTGGGTGAATGGCACATAATAAGCTGTAACTTGACCCTAACTCTGCTCTCAATGCAAGCCTAGAACCTTTAGACCTTGAATGGTCCTGTCTGCTACTGGCGGCCCAGTCCTGTCATCTCCTATGGCTTTATTTGCCTGCAGTGTTTTCAGTGTTAATCTGTATGCACCTCTATGTTAAATTATGCATATTGATTATTTTTACATCTGTGTAGATGTGCTCATGTGCTTTAGCATTAGAGTTATGTCATTGGAGAGGCAACAGGAACAGCAGGAGAGGTAGCAGCAGCAGGGAAGAGTGTATCAGCCTTCTGAAGCTCCTGCTAAGATCCCAAATCCTTTACTCCACTGAGCATCTCCAGGACCAGGATGAAAATGCTACTAAAAAGCACCAAGTCCCATGACCAGCCTTGTGGGTAACACAGTCTTAAAGTGCATTATCTGCCGGTTTGACCACCTTGCAGTGATTGGATTATAGGGTGCACATTCAAGAACAGTTAACATGTACATGTCCTGCAAAAGATCTATATGAATTTCCTGAATGACAGAGATGGTTAGGAGGAAGGCTTAAATCACAGAAAACCCCTCTTACAGCTTTTGCTTGTGGTGTAGGTTGGAAAGCAAACATTATTTGCTGCATTGTGAATGAGCAAATAAATAAGAGATCATCTTGGGCTCCTTGTGCATTTTTATATTAAACACACATGTGCCAGCAGTCAACCAAAAATGTGTATTTCCACTTACCAGCAGATCTCGTTTCTTTGGCATGTGTCAATTACACTGAGGCATGAAGGAGCTGGGACCATATTGACTCCACACAGTGTTCCATGAAGGAATCCCTTGGCTTGGTGGCAGTTTTCATCTGACAGCATGCAATCACAAAAGGTCAACAGCAGGGCTACGTTCAAAGGCATGTTTTCATAGAAGGACCGCAGGGCTGCTTGGCATCGATTCCAATTGCACTGTGTTGCATTAGCTTGGCAGGCTTGAAGGTAGCGAGATAGTTGTCTGTTACAGACTCCATCATTGACACAGTCCACTTTGACTTGGAAGCAGGAGCGCAGGTGTTTGTATTCTGAGGAAACAGCAAAATGATCAGAAGACGATAGAGATAGGGGTACGAGGAGTGATTTTGAAAGCACAACAGTTCTCAAACTCTCCCTTGAATTTGTGACATGGCAGTCACTCCACCATAGGCAACCCATTTCTATTTGCATTTTCTGAAAAAAACACCCCATACATTGAGGTGGCGAACTTCAGGCCCGGGGGCTTAATATGGCCCTCCAGACCTCTCAGTTTAGCCCTTGTAACTTTCCCTAGGCCATCACTATTTCCAGCTCTTGCAATGAGCTTGCAGTGTCTCATTCTGCACAGGGTCAGGAAGCTGGATTACTCATAATTTATGTGGGCCACAAAGTTGAAATCGATACAGGGTATAGAAACGTTTAAAAAGTAGGCTACTGTTTACCATAGTTTGAAAGAGACGATGACTTCCACTGTGATTTTATTTTCAGGTGATCTACAACGAAGGAGATACATATTATACAGATTACATGTTGTAAATTAATTGTAGATTTGAAATGGAAGCAGCAGTTTGCAATGAAACACAATGCAAAGAAAAAAATGATGATCAGGTTATTTGACGGCCTTTAGCAGAGGCATTCCTAGTTTAGAGCAAAGGTGGGGCTCATTTGGTGCTCTAGATGTTGTTTGACTCCAGCTTCCATCAACCCCAATAGCCAAAGACAACGTTGGAGTGTGGAACACAGAGTAACATCAACCTTACCTTTTAACCAGGCTTGGTGTCAGTAATCAGTATATTCAGACAGCTGATAGGACCCATGGATGGGGAGGGGTCCTCCATAAACTGCAGACACCAGACTGTTACCTGCTGGTTTCTGCTGGTGGCAGCAAAGATGATCTCACTACCATCTTTGTTCATCTTGTTTGCATGGTCAGATGAGGCCTTTTATATTTCATTTTTAAAGGCTAAACACTTCTGAGCATTGCCATTGGGATGGATGGGAACTGTAGCTTGCCATAGCTCCTGATTCAGTGAACAGGGCAGGAGAATAGATGCAAACCATATGAATTTAAAGGGTTGTCTGACATTGACTCACATGCACTGATTGCATAATGCAACAGCTGCAAGTGTTGGGACAAGTGTTGTTCATGTCAATTGCTGACTCCTGCACCTGCTGTTTCCTCTTAGCATTTACACATCAGCTTCAATTTTATCTGAATTGCCTAGAAGAAATCCAAACATAGGAGTAACAACATAACTGAGTAAATGATGTTTGAGTTACAGCGAGCTACAGCAGCGTGGAATTAAAAACAGAGGGAAAGCAAATAACTCTGTCTTTGGGATTAGGTACACAGTCAAGATTCAATGGTTATTTGAGGAGGTATCTAGCTGAGGCAACAACCATTATCTATAAAAAGAATGGATTAACGCAAGAACATGAGAAAAGCCCGTCTGCATCGGGCCAAAGACCAGTCTGTTCCTGCAATCTGTTCTATCCATGCCCAACCAGTTGCCTATGACATACCCTCAAAGTGTCCCAATTTTCCAGGGTCAGTCCCAGAGTTACAGCAGCCATCTTGGTTTCTGATTTGACCCCAGAATGTCCAGGTTTTCCCTTTTCCTTCCCTCCACATCTTGGAGAGCAATTTTAAGTGCTGGAGAGATCAGACTACCCCTTTGTCCTTTTTGGAAACAGGAACCTTTGGTGTACATTTGTATGTCTGTAGGTGCAAAAACAGAGTCCTGTTTATACCGAAAATAAAATACCTGCACCAAATGAAGGAAGCTGGCATACAAAGCCCTTCCTATAATTTTGAAGGAAAATGTAACCAATCCACTTGGTTACATCCTCCAACACTGGAGGTGGAACATAGACTTCACAGCTCGTAGCTCCTGATCTTCCTATCCTCCATGGATGTATCTATTCCTGTCCAAGTGAGTGGCCATCTCTACATCTCTTGTAGGATTCTAGGGTGTTTCCTGCCACATTGTGGCTGACTATGTTTGATCCTGCATGGAAGACCTTGAGAACAATGCAGCAGAAGTTAGTTGTGATGCCACACCTTGACACATATTTGCACAGAAGCAAGTCACGTCGATTTCAACAGTCCAGTCTTATGCATGAGAACCTGTAAGCAATGCACACAGAGGTCACTGGGACTCCGTATAAGCATGATAACTTTGGGCTTGGATTTGTGGGCAGTGGTGTCAACAGGGAGAACCCCAACCCAACCCACCACCAGTTTTTCTGCATTTTTTTAAAAATTAAAATGTAAAAAGTGGCGCTTTGTGCCATCAAACCTATTCATTTCAAGGTTGCTAGGAACAGTATCTTTGAACTGGTGTTATTGAAGAGATCACTCTTCATCATTTACCTGCATCAAAGCCTGCATAGGTTTCCTCCTGAATGGCAGAAGCTTGGTATTCCTGGGTGTATTGTACGCATGTGTTGTTAAATATATGCTTCCATATTTTAGTGCATCTTTTATGCAGTGGTTCTGGGCATATGCAGCTCCCCAGGACTGTTCTCCTTAACTCCTTCCATGCTGTGAGGCATTGCTGTACCACCACATGGAGGCTACAGTTTGCTACTTTGGTTCTGCACATTCTCTGGAATTTCTTGTACGGCAAGAAACAGGTGTCATCTCCTCGGCATATTTCCTTTGCAACCGCACAGTCAGTTCCTAACATGCCTGGGTGCACCGTCTCTTGCAATTTTGTCTGTGGCAGGAATCCTAACTGGACATCTGTGCTCGCGTAAAGCTTCGATTTCCCTGTGCAAAAGAGAATTTGCGCGCAAAGTCAGTTGGATAGATCATGCTCGCAGCTGCATCTTTCAAATGCAATCAGGCTGACTGTAAAAACTGATAAGCAAAGGAGCAGCTACATGAATTGTTCTTTGTAAATACTTTCCCCCAAATGATTATTTGGGATGGTACCAGGGCCAACCCAAGATATTTTGCTGCCTGAAGCGAAGGATGATATTTACAAAAGCCAACTAAACTGGAAAATGAATCTGACTTTTGACACTATCCTCCGCACTGCACCTGAAGATAGCAGGCTAGCTATGGGAGTGCAGGACTGGTCATGCGAAACACACGTTTCTGTCCTTACTGCATTTTTGAGCATCTGCTGCCTGAGGCGAATGCCTCACTCTGCCTATTTGTGAGGCTGATCCAGGATAGAACCTTCTCTACAGCAGCACCCAAGGGTGGAATTATGCCTCATGGAGTGCTCTTAGATCTCTCTTTTTCTTCCTTCAAACATTAGACTAGTCTTTTCCTCTCTGCTTTTTTTTATGTTAATCAAGGTGGTAGCGGGAGTCCATAACCTTGTCATTTTGCAGGGTTCATTGCTGGTCTTAAATGGTTGATGAATTGGCTTGGATCCTAAGGGAAGTTCATGGAAGGAAGTCCCCCTCCCCTCCTCTCCCCTCTTGCAGCTTCCTGTGCCCCCCTGAAAAACCTGAAAAGCTGGGGGGGGAGGTTCTTGGGGAGAAGGGAATAATCCACTGGTTTTGTCTGGATTTGAATGGTACTTTATTTGTCTTGAATTTTGGACTCCGATGACTACTATAATTGCTTAGGAAAGTCACAGTCTCCTAATTAGAGGTCAAAGATCCATATAATATTTGAATCCGATAGTTTGTCAAAGCTAAACCTCTAAGCCACAATGAACATAAGAGCATAACAAGAGCTCTGCTGCATCAGACCAAAGCTCAGCATCCTTCTTCCCCCAGTGGTAACCCAGATGCCCATGTCCATCATGCAAGCAAGACATGACCTCTCCCTCAATCATTCCCCAGCAAATGGCTGAGAGCCTCTGATCCTCAAAGTACCATACTGCTCCCATTTCTAGCAGCTGCTAATAGCCTTATCAGGGCCATGATTACACTGCATTATTTTGTTCTAGAGAAGAAAAAAATCTGTTACCTTTATTCCCAAAACATTGCTTGCCAAGCAACGCTGTAGTGCTGCAGTTATCATTAGTGCAGGTGCAGTCTTTAAATTCTGGGAACTGGTCAACTAAGAACTTGACTGTTTTATTACAGTTGGTTGAATCTTTTACTGTGTAGTTGTTGCCTGGATTTCAAACGCAAGAATGAGTCTTAATACTTTCATTAATGTTATTATATCTATTTATTTATATCCCACCTTTTCAACTAACTTTTACTCGGACTAGACCCATTGAAATGAATGGACCTGATTAGTCATGGGCATTCACTTCAATGGGTCTAGTGGGAATAAACATTGTGACCCAATATAAACTACGGTATGAAGTAGTTTGTATGAAAGTAATCTCGTAGCACCTTAAAGGCTTGAAATTGGAGTGGCTCAAAAGCTTTCATGGACTAGGTACCATTTCACTGGATGAAGTCATCTCTAGTCTATAAAACCCTAGACCACCACAAAATAAGAACACTTCAACAGAACATGTCCCTGTGAGTACGTACGTGTAGATGCCCCCATTTTCTTTTTTCAAAGTTAAAATCCTATTGATTCAACCCCACACTCTGGGCTAGCATATTCCTTGGGTGTAGCTTTTAAGAAAGAGCTCTCTGCGTGTTCAGTCCTGTCTGCTGAACTGGAAAGTAGAATGGTGTATATGTACTTCTTCTGTGGATGATCAAACACACTCTCCATTAAGTATTTTCTCAACAGTTTCCAACCATCAGTAAATGTGCTGTGTGTATCTAAGAGGGATTACTTTAAAAAAAAAAAAGTGGGGGGAAGTTGCTGCACTGTTACCTGAAGTGTGGAACATTCTGGTTGCTGTTTTTTACTCTCACATTTTTCAAGACCATTTTACTATGTGACTACTGATGGCAAACACATGAAGTGGTGGTTTTCTCACTCAGAATACCCATGTCATGAACACCATCCTGATAGATGCTGTTTCGTACTGCATCACTTGCTTTGCGGCCTGTTGGTTGCATTTGGAAAGGGTGCAAAATGTACTTGCTCATCAAAATAAGAAAGGGACATTTTAGTTTTTGCTTTTTTTAAAAGCAAAAACTATTGTTGAAAATATATTGTTGAAAATATAAGTGCCAACCCACCCCCACCCCTATCTTTTCACTTTTTGTGTTAACATCTGGCCTCCAGGAGAAAGATCAGCAGCTACTGAGAATTCAATTATCAAAGTCACAAGACTTTCATGTAATCTGTGCATGTTTAGGACATGTGCTAAATTGGTGTACATTTCTTTTACAAGTTTCATGAGGCTGATTCAGTCTGTTGATTCAGCTGTTCAATTAAAATGCCAGAATTTCATTTATGTAGGAGTTGGATTTTTTTAAAAAAATAATAGTTTCCTGTTATTGTTGAGTAGAGTAACTCTTAGCAACGTAGATTCACTCAAATGAAAAGTATGAGATTTCCCCTTTGTATATATTATACTGTAGATACTACTACTTGGGGGATTTAGTATAGATTCTATTAACTTTAAACTGGCTGTATATCTTAGCCTAACACCTAAGTCTGACACGCTATAGCTATAGTAAGAGCTATATTCTGGGGTGGGGATGGGGAAAGATGGAGTCTCAAATGTATTACTGAACTTAAGGAGCAACCCATAGGATCAGAGCCACGGATCCTCATCCTAAAAACACTTGGATTCCCCCCCCCCATTTTTTGACAAAGTAATTATGTATGATCTCACTCTGTTACAAAGCTTTTAATTCCAAACCACTGCAAACAAATGGCCCCTCCAGATAGTCTATTTGTTGAACATTCATTATTCTTTGTGCTCATGATGTTATCAGGTCAATTGTATGCATTACTTGGAAACCATTTGTGCCAGCAAAAGTGTTGCAGGCTCAGTTTGATTTGTAATAGGTGCATGTCTCGTAGTTTCCTGCTGAGATTCTGTATTCCTTTTGCCTCCTTTTATAAATTTCCCAACAATAGGCATCTTCCCACTCACCCATGTGACAGTGTCTATATGTGTGGCGCCAGGAAATAAATAAATCAATGTAAACTGCACTAGCAATCCCAGGAGCCTTTGCACCGACCTTTGGGGCCTGTGGAAATTTGGAGATTGAGAACGAAGGTTTGGAGGGAGCAATTGTAGTGGAGTTTGGTGGATTTTGAAACAAAGCAGAGGTTTTTTTTTAAGGGTTTCCAGAGGTTTAGAGGGAATTTACAAGTTTTTTAGACAATGTTCCCCACTATGTGTGATTTCATGTATAACACATGGTACCCAGGAACATAACCCCTGCTTAACTGGGGAGACGTCTGTATTCACAAAATGTATAGGGAATGCTTTAACAACTTTTCCCCCATGGAAACACATCCCTGGGGCTATCTGCACACCTTTGTCCACCCCTCTCCACCCCTGAACATTTTTTTGTATGATCAGAATTAGCCCATATGCAATGGCATTTTCTCCTTAGTAACTGTATTTAATACTCCAGTCCCTGTTTTCATTGAGTATGTAGTCAGAAGTCGAGTTTAGCAACCTGCCCAGTAATCCACTGTGTAAGCAGGAGCTCCGGCAGGCATATGCACCTCTCAGTCTATAAGATCTTTCACATTAATTTCAATGAATGTGGAATTAGGCATGGAAGGGTGTGTTTCTATGGAATGCTCCCTCCATTTAAGTGTGTGGTGATGATGCCCACCTCCAAAGGGGTACGGGAAATGAGCTCTCCTACCACCTTTCTGGGAAAAGGTGAAATGAAGAATTGCCTTTTAAAATTCAGTTCAGTGTTCGTTTTAATGGAAACTGATTATACAAGGAATGCCGCTTCTCTGAAATCATAGAGCAATCTATGGCTTCTCCGTAGTTACCTGAAATGCAACAAACTTCTTCAAGCAAAGCCCAGACACTTTCACATCCATTTCCTGCAGCTTCGCATCTCTCTCTCAGCTCTTGGCATTTGGAGGTCTGGAAAGCAGTTACATGCATGGAATGTAGTACCAGCACTGCAAAACAGATAATATAACTTTGGTGATAAGCAGTGGATCCTTTGCATTTCTACCCAATGTTTTATTGTAGAGAGCATGGAAGGGTAAAGGAGATACACAAGGCTACCCATGCTGAATTTCAGATACCCCTGTTTAGATCCATCAAGGAACAAGGAACTCAGTCTTTTTTCTAAGCAGACTAAGCTCTCTTCTCTTTCACCTTTGGGGTTTCTCCATTCTGCGCTTCACTCCAATCGCCATTGTTCTTGCTTCACTCTGAGCTTCACTATTTCAAAGGGAGGTTCTAGAGCAAACTTTTAATCTCATGGCTTTGAAAATGTGTGTGTGTGCATAATTAGTTTTGTTTTTTAATTTATTTTAAAAAAACATATTTTACAGGGATTTTCAATACAGGAAAAAAATGACATATTATAGTAACAGACTATCAATAATTAAGAAAAAATTAAATATGTCAATATATGATATACCACATATACAGAATATATATATATAGGGACGCGGGTGGCGCTGTGGGTAAAACCTCAGCGCCTAGGACTTGCCGATCGCGTGGTCGGCGGTTCGAATCCCCGCGGCGGGGTGCGCTCCCGCCATTCGGTCCCAGCGCCTGCCAACCTAGCAGTTCGAAAGCACCCCCGGGTGCAAGTAGATAAATAGGGACCGCTTACCAGCGGGAAGGTAAACGGCGTTCCGTGTGCTGCGCTGGCTCGCCAGATGCAGCTTGTCACGCTGGCCACGTGACCCGGAAGTGTCTGTGGACAGCGCTGGCTCTCGGCCTATAGAGTGAGATGAGCGCACAACCCTAGAGTCTGTCAAGACTGGCCTGTACGGGCAGGGGTACCTTTACCTTATATATATATCTATATATCTATATGCACATGTGTTGTTATATTGTATACATCCAAGCTAACTTGCACAGAGCACAGGTTCTAAAATGAGCTTTGCTAGGGCTCAAACCAGCTTGCAATTCATGCCTCTAGTAAGCCTAGCTACGTGGAAGGTTCTGCTGTTAATATGTCCATTAAGATTTTGGTGCCTGGGGAGATGAAGCAGATATAATACATTGCACAGACAGCACTCTTAAAAGTCCCACTGCAAACAATGGGACTTTGAGTGCTGAGGTGCAGGTCTACTAGCTATTACATCAGGCAACAGCAGCAGGAAGCCAGCGGTTCCATCTGACTTCTCCACTCTCTCAGCTGTCATCTTGCAATTGCAGTTTCATCAGGAAGCAACAAAGACAGCTGTGTGAAATGGATCTCTTCCTCTTCCTCTTCCTCGGAAGATTAGAGTTAATAAGTAAAAATAATGGGATTGAAAAAAGTGGGTATTATGGGAACATCTTATTCTTGTTCTGCAGCTTCCTATAGGCCTGCTTCTCTGTTCCTCCTCTCACCTACCTATCTCAAGCCAAAGGGAAAAGTCAACAGTAGTAACAATAGCTTTTCTTGTGGCCTGACATGCACTTAGACGTTCCACTCAGCAAACAAGCATGTGTTTGTTTAAACAAAACCTCCCTTTTCCAGATCTACTTGATAAGTTACCTTTCATAGTACCTTTAGGGTGATCTGCCACTGTACTGCCTACGGACTGGAACGGGTCATCACTCAAGCCTAAATACATTGGCTAGGTGTCACTCTTGGCAATCAATGAAATAAAACTAAATATCTACCACCATAGAGATAGCATTTTAGTGTGAAGCTGGCACCTGCTCTTCAACAGCTTGCTCTTTTCCAGCCATGCCAGGAGTGCATGAAGAATGTTCCAATTACACATTGCCTCTGGGAACAAGAAAGCCACGCGACTCATGAAGCGGCAACAGTCATGAGCATTTAAAGGATTAGCCATGTTCCACAGAGCACTAGTAACCTTGGGCACAAAAGAAGGAGCAACACACTGCTAAAGAGATGGGACAGAATGGGCTGAGTCAGACAAACAGTTTTGCCTCCCAGTACACAATACATTCCCACTGGTAATAGAAATCTGAATGAAGTTTTGCTCTGCAATATGGTCGTAGAGACCGGTCAGCCATGTGACAGCTATGTGGTCCTTCAGTCATCTCACTTCGATTACATTTTCTTAGTAACTGCAAATGTCAATTTAACTGGGGATAAAGTCTGGCTATCTGACTCAATGATACATTGGGCAATAGATATTGGTCATAATATAATATAATATAATATAATATAATATAATATAATATAAATGTGGAAGCATGGGAACAATGTGGAATATGGATATAATTTTACAGCATGCTATGGTCTAAGAATGGGACACGGATGGCGCTGTGGTCTAAACCACTGAGCCTAGGATTTGCCGATCAGAAGGTCAGTGGTTCGAATCCCTGCAACGGGGTGAGCTCCAGTTGCTCGGTCCCTGCTCCTGCCAACTTAGCAGTTCAAAAGCACGTCAAAGTGCATGTAGATAAATAGGTACCACTCCAGCGGGAAGGTAAATGGCATTTCTGTGCACTGCTCTGGTTCACCAGAAGCGGCTTAGTCATGCTGGCCACATGCCAGCTCCCTCGGCCAATAAAGCGAGATGAGCACCGCAACCCCAAAGTCGGTCACGACTGGACCTAATGGTCAGGGGTCTCTTTACTTTATGGTCTAAGAGAAAATTATATGAAAATGATATATCGATGGTACCTAACACCGAGTTAACTGACAAAAGAGGAAGAAGGTTCTTTTTATCATATGTGGTGGTCTTGTAGTAAGGTTAAAGCTTACTGGGAAATGATATATAATGAGTTGAAAAAGATGTTTGAAATAACATTTGTAAAAAGACCAGAAGCCTTCCTTTTGGGAATTATAGGGACAGAACTACCCAAACTGTATAGAAATTTATTCATGTATGCAACTACAGTGGCAAGAATGTTACTTGCCCAAAAATGGAAAGAAGAAAAAATCCCAGCAAAAGAAGAATGGATACAAAAACTTATGGAATATGCAGAAATGGCAAAACTTACTAGAAAACAGACTTTTTATAAAAGAATGGAAATGGTTTATTGAATATTTACAAATAAACTGTAAACAGATAGGAACATTGGCAGGATTATTGTAATAACCTGCAGTTTTATAAGAGTATATATTTATAGTAGATGAATAAATGAGCAAATTAAGTTAATTTGGTTATGCAGAAAATATTAAAAACAAATTTAAGGAACCACAGAAAGAGGGGGAAGGAAGTCAAGTTTTGAAATGTTGAAATTATTGTAAAATTATTTAAATGTATAAAATTGAAAATAAGAATAAGAATAGATGGCTATCTGAATCTACTGAACAAAATTGCTCATGCTAAGAACAGTGGGCTGTGGTGGGATAGGAAACTGCCCTCCGCAATACAGACCTTTATTTGATCATATTCATTTCTTCAATTTTATATATTAAATTTTTATTCCACCCTTCGTCTGAGGACCACAGAGCTCTAAATTAGCACATTGCTTATATATTTTTAAAAGAAAATAGTTCCCCTTTGCAGTCACAAAGACTAAAAGCAAAGTTTCTAAAAGCAAACAAAGCAGCTGCCATTTCAACAAGTTTATTATGTTTGAATAGGAGAGGAGCAGAGAAGGAGGAAAATAAAGTTTAACTTATAGCAAATGTGTGAGTACAAAGTCTGTCCTTTATATTGCATACAGTAGGAGGGAGCAGTCCAATAAGTGGTAGGGACCATATGCAATGTCCAATTCTGTGCCCTCCAACAAGCAGATGAGACTGCGGTCCCATAGGCACACTTAATTCAGAACAATCCCCAGTGAACACAGTGCGACTTACTTCATTCAGAGTAAGCGTGTATAGGATTGGGTTCCACGAGGAAGAACTCTGCAGAACTTACCCAGCAACAGAATGGAGTTCATCGCGCAAGGCGGTCCTGAGCTATTGATGCGGAGCACAGTAAGCTGCAGGTTATCGCCTGATGCTCTCTGAAATCTCAAAACCTCCGAGTCGTTTCAGCACCACGCCGCGCTGGACAGCTCTCTCCCGGCTGCGTGCGATTGGTCCACCTTGGCGCTGAAAGAGTGAGCCCGTTCTGGTGGGGCTCCCTTCCCTGCTCTCGCTTGCTTTAAGTATCCCAGAGAGATAGGAAAGCCAACCCTCCATTTCACACCTGTTGCAGATTTCCGGAGTATAGTAAAAGCTGCCCTGACAGTCGCTTACTACATACCTTGCTGCCTGCGAGTCCAGATGAATTACAGTCTTCTGAGCAAATGCCTGGTGAGGTAATAGTTCAGTCGTGATACCAAGTTAATGATGATAAGCAGAATTTCCTTCTGAAGATACCATTATTAGAGGGGTTGGGCTTCCCACTCCTTCAAAGCTAAAGGGAAAATCTAATCTTGCAGGTGGAAACCTGCAGGCGGGTGGTTGCTGTTTTCCAAAGTACCTTCTAAGGACCTTTAAAACCTGGGAGTTGCTGCAGGATCTGCTTCTCTGGGGTCCCAGGAAACCCTGGTGACATGAGAAGATGAGTTCATGCTCTAGCTGTGTGGGGCATACCAAAATAGGAGGGCACAACTCAATAAAGATGGGCTCACAGTGACACAAACATTTCTGAAGCTGAGTAGCAGGAGCCCACCTGTGAGACAGAGGGAGGTATAATGCATTAGATAAGGAGAAGTGGATGGGGGTCAGACCATTGGACTATCTACTTCAGAAATGTTGATCCTGGCTAGCTGTGGCTCTCCAGGGTTTTAGTGGCTCTCCAAGCCCTACCTGCAGATGTTGGAAATTAATCCTGGGACCTACTGCATGCAAAGCAGATGTTCTGACCCTATGGCCCTACAGCTGTGGCTTTGGAAACGAAGAAAAGACCAAGAGAGAGAATGGCACAAAACTTGGAGCAAAGGATTGGATTCCTTGAGTGCAGCCATCTGGACACACTGTTCATCTCTATAAGTTGGGAGGCATCAGATGACTTCCTTGTGAAGTCAGATGTCCTATAGAATATGCCTTGCATATGGTCAGGAGGCAGGTCTGGAAATGGGAAAGCAAAGTGAGGCTAAGACAAAACTCCTCTATGAAAGCTAACCTGTTCAAGCAATGCATTTCAAGCCTGGCTCCTGGGCTTAAGACTTTGGTCAGCCTAGAGATGGGTGGCAGTTGTATACAGGGCTCCATTTTGAGTCCCTTTGCTGCCAGGTTTTTCCAGAATACACCATTCCCCAGTTTTCCATTCCTCTCTCTGTGTGTGTCCCATTAGCATTGTATGGCACTGAGCATACGTAGCCCTTGTTGAACTCTTTTGGGGTATGTTCCCCCACCCTTTTTAGGATTCTCCCTCCTTTTTAAAAAAATTCTGCCATTTTTCCCAAGCCTGCAGATGGGGTGGACTTTAGTCTTTCAGATTTCAGTGGTGTCCTGTTCAAGGCCAAAATTCGGCACCTACCCGACCTCTCACCTTCCTTTCTGCTCAATTCACTACATCATAGTTGGGACACCCTGCAGCGCCCCCTAGCTTTGATGCCCAGCATGGCAGAACCAATTGTGCTTTCCTCAATCCACCTCTGCTGCAGATATCTTCCTTGATATGGCTGGTGCCCTTTTGGATTCACATTCAACAAATGATTCACTATTAGTATCAATTCGTATGGCCATATTAATATAGGGTTCAGTTATGCTATTTTATGAACAACTTGGTAGAGGCAAAATTGGTCCTAATGTGATTTCCATCATGATGCTTCCCCCTTGCTTACTGCCAGCTTTGACTGAAACACAAGATGCACCCACTCTTTATTGAGAAAGGAAATACACCAGAAGCTCTGACCAGTTAAGGTATATAAAAAAATTAATGTGTTCCCAAACAATCTTATCTTATAGTTCAAAAGCAAAGGCTGTTAAAATCACGCAAGCTTCCAAACAAGGCTGTGGTTTCTTTTAGAAAATAAGAGGTGTTCATTGACTATCGTTCCTTTCCAGTCCGCAGTACTCTGGTTACTGGTTGAGACAACTGGATGCACAGATTTCCACTTACAAAAGTATTAAACCGCAGAGAAACTGGGATGCTCCCAGCTGTGAACAGGTCCAGTGCCATTTGTTGGGAGTGTGCTTATATGGGTCAATGCAACGTGCTCTGATAACTTGGTAGCATGGTCAAAATGGGTGATCTGGGTGGTCAAGGATTTCCGACTTTCTGTGCTTGTCCGTCCTCGAAACCGGTCCTCATTGTGGTGGCTAATGCCAAAGCAGCAGCAGCAGGAAAAAGCTGCTTTGAATTCTTCTCGGAATTTTCCTGCCAATCAAACAACACCAGAAGCATGAGATAGTATACTATGAACTGGATTATTTTTTCTACTAACAATGCATGTGTGAAAATGAATCCTAACTTCATTGGTTTTTTAAAAAAAATGCCACTGATACAATTTGGGTTAACTAGGGTTACCAGACGTCCCTGGTTTCTGGGGACAGTCCCCGGATTTGCAAATCTGTCCCCGGACAAATTCTGTCCCCGGAATGTCTCCAGATTTGCAAATCTGTCCCCAGGAAACACAGCAGTGGCAGCCTCAGTAGCTCGGAGCCAGCCTGGTAGCACAGTTGGCTCTGGCTGGCTTCAGGAGCTGCCCGCTGCCATGGCGCCCGCCATTTTTCCTCTCCGGAAGTCCCCATGTGATGTGTCTTGTGCGCAACGCATCACATGGGGACTTCTGGAGAGGAAAAATGGTGGGCGGCACTACCATGAGCAGCTCCTGAAGCCAGTCAGAGCCAACTGCGCTACCAGGCTGGCTCCGGGCTGCTGACTGCTGCTGCTGCCGCCATTACCAAAGGGGAACCAGGGACATCCGGCGGTACAAATCTCCTTCCCCCTTCCCCCTTTGTTTTGACTGATCAGGGGAGGCTCGAGAGTTGGGGGGGGGGGCGTTGCCCAGTTTTTTAAAAAACTCTGCGCATTTATGTTTCACAGGGTGGGAAAGAAGGGCTTTGCATGTTTATACAATATGCATGTGTGCTTGGGCCCAGGGTCTTTTGCCTCACCACCCCCGCTACTGACTCCCTGTTGCTACTCAGCTTCTCCCCCCCCCCAAAAAAAGTGTCCCCGGATTCATTGAAAAAAATCTGGTAACCATAGGGTAAACCCCAAAGAGATAGTGACATGGCTTCATTAAAAATCTGTTCATGTAAAATCATAGTATTATCCCCCCTCTTAGTTAAATGGGTGGGTTCACGGCACATGTAGCAAAGAGAATATAGAGTTTGAAGGGACTACAAGGACCGTCTAGTAGTCTAACCCCCTGGCAGTGCAGGTACCTTTCACCCAATGTGGGGCTCAAACCCACAACACTGAGATTAAGAGTCTCATGTTCTACCAGTAAACCCAGTAAAGACAGGGAGTTCATCTGTCTTGTCCTGATGTTGGCAGCAAGGGTAGTGTGCAAGCATAACCCCCTCAGCCAGTCACCAGCAGATAGTCTGATAGGAAATTACACATCAGCCTGAAACTCAAAGCAGGGGAGCCAATTGGAGGCACAAAATATTCCCACCCCCAACAAGAAGATAAGGGAAGCCCAAAGGCTCATTTATTTACTGTTTTTTTTTATTTAAGACATTTCTATACTGTGTAATTGTTCACATTTCTAAGTGGTGAACACAAAGCAATGGTGCAATAAAACTTTTCCCTTTTTTTAATCGTAAGACGGAACAGTGTCTTAAAATGCTTGCTGGAACAAAAAGGGCTTGGCCACATGCCTGGAGTGTAACAAGGAGGGTGGCTGCCTAATCTCAGCTGGGAGAGAGTTCTGTGGGCTTGAGCCAATTACATTGAATGGAAGACTTCTAGTAGTTCCAAGCTGTGTAGCTAAACCATGTGGGGAGGGGGCGCATTGATAAAAGGCAGCAGAACTGAACGACTTACCACTGAGGAAGTTATAAATAATTGGGTTTGCTGCACTATTTGCATATACAAGCCAGTGGGAGAATGTAAACCAGGCATACACTGTTTCTCTGTCATTGGCATTGTTGAACATCCCAAACACCCTTACAAAGAAGAGAAGAAATGAGAAGACATTAGAAATCGGATTAAATCTCAAACTAGCTTTCAATTTGATTAGCTCTAAAGAATATGTATCTCAAAATGCAGAGGACCACAAGGGCACAACAGTTTCATTATTATTAAAGTAAAAGGCCTGTGCATGTACTCCAAGGGAGTGCAACTATTATAAGTGACTTCTAAAGTTTACCGCATGCCTTGATTCAGATAACCACACGCTGAGAAATATTTCTGGTCACCTCTGGCCTGAATGCTCTGTGTAAAGTGAGAATGGTGGTGCTGATGGGGGAATAAGGATTGTTCTGGTCTTGGACCAGGCAAATGTTGGTCCTTACCACACTTTGGAGACTAGCCCTGATCAAGAAGACCTACTTAGAGACAAGAAGTTACGTGGAATCTTGCTACTTTGGTTGCCCTCACAGTACAAGGCTGCATTCCTCCTCTGCTGGGTGTGCATACTCTAGTTCTGTTGTTTTCCTTATTCTTTCAGGAACCTGGCTTATCACTGAGACAACATTAATATTTGCTTGTGCTCTAATTTCCTGTTTACAGAGAAACACTAAACTCACCTAAGCCCCTTCACTCAAGTCCCTAAGACTGGAGTGCCCTCTAGTGCCGTTAAGTGTATCCTGCAGTTCTTGATTGTTCCCAATGTTGCCTCTAGCAAGATGTCAAGCATGGGCTGTACTGTGGGCTTGCTGTGCCCAGAACACTTTTGTTCTTCAAGCAGGTTTTACCATCCTGCCTCTTTTCTCCTTCTCCTCTGCTTCTGAGCCTTAAGCAGCAGCTGAAGGAGCAGAGAGGTGTTTCAACACTTCTTGCTCAACTGTGTTGACAACTAGTCAAGCCAGCCATGTTCACATCAGCTCCAGTTTTGCCTGCCTTTCTGCAAAATTAAAAACCACATGCTAATACCAGGGACGGGCCGTAGCTCATTGCTCCAGCTCATTTCTTGTCCACTGAACATTCAAGGTTCAGTCTCCAACATCTTCAGCAAATAAGGATTTCACATGACAGAGCTGGGAAGAATTTCTGCCTGAGACCTTGTAGAGATCTGAGTCACTGTTGTCCATTTGTTCATGATTTTATGATTTTAAAGTTTTATGTTCTAATTATTTTATTGTATTTTTTTTTTTACTTGGCAGCTCATAAACAAACAAACAAATGCTAATTTTGCTATAGGGCTAGTCAATGACTTACAGCTGCAAAATGGAATCATGCTGTTACCTAAAGACTAGAAAATCACACACAGGGGCATATTATTACTCATCGTGTATTAAGGTTTACCTTTTTAATACATTGAGAATGCTAATCGGGAGATAGCAGAGAGCAAAAACCAAGAGAACGACCATGAGCATACGTGCTGTTTTCCTCCGAGTTTGGATTTGTTTGATTTCGGCTGCCACAGCACTAATCCTAAAATTTGCCGATGGCTTCTGCCTTTGGGTTTGTGCTGTGGATTGCAGAGGCCTCCACTTTTTCTGAATCACAGATGAAGTTCCTGGAATCTAGCAGAGCATAGTAAACAGAATGTTAATTATTTCCATTTGCCCAAAGGGAAAATCTGTTAGGCTCATTGGCCCAGAGACATAAAGTAATAATAATAATAATAATAATAATAATAATAATAATAATAATAATAGACACACATGTTGATTTCAATGCAATCTCTTTTCTATGGCTGAAATGAAAGATGCCGTTCCAGAATTGTGTTCATTTTGCTTATGCATCTCCATTCTGAACGTGAACCCCCTTTTGTTAGATGTAAGAGAGACCTGAAGAGGGAACTCAGTAAAGATACTGAATTGATGAAAACTGGGAGGTAACAGATGGACACCTTGCCAACTTTGGTGCTTCGTGTGACATTTTGTCTGATGATGGTTCAACCAGGAGTATTTTTAAATGATGTTTTAAATTGTATTGTATTGGTTGTGTTTTGATTTTGATTTTCTTTTGTATATGACTTTGTAAAATTGGGTTAGAAATTTAGCAAACTTAAACTTAATACCTGCTACACTAGTGCACTCATAAGACACACCTAAGGATCTACTCTGTGGGACCATATTGCTAACTTAGCCAAAAATTCATAAACATGTTCAGAGAGATTATTGGTCCAAAATATGGAACTTTTTTGTGAATTAAAAAAATCAAGTTGGCAAATACAAGGGATAACCGATGAACAGCTGGCTCTCTTAATAAGCTCTAATATCACTGAAAAATTGTGCCCAATTTTCAATGACATTAAAAAGCAACTATGGTACACCTGCTCTACTTGATGTGACGTACCTGAGCAAAGAGTCAAATCACACTAGCTAATAGCTGTTAAGTAGGCTTGCTGTGGTAATTCTCATTAATATAACACCTTGTTCACTTTGGCAACTGCACTTGAAAAACAGAGATATGTTATTTTCCATGAGTGGGAGTAGAAACAGCTTCTGCTAATGTATTAAATCTACTCTATCAACAGAAATAAGAAACAAGAACACATTATAATATGTATCGTGCCAAAGTGCAATGTAAATGTTTCTGAAATGTTTACAACATGTTTCTTTCTCTGTTCTAGGTGATTTTTCCATTCTTTTATCAAGCCTTCATCTGAATGTAAACTAAGAGCTAGAGAAGAAAATGATCCTATCTTAGCACGAATAATTTCATTCCAGCTCTTTAGAGTGAAAATGTAAGCTAAGAATTTGTGGACTGGATGCAAGCACTTACTTTGCTATATCAGTTCATATGCTTGGATGGTTTTGTACAACATGGTGTTCTTTTTTGGTGAAAGATTGTTTGCATGTGAATTATACACAATTATTCTACTCTGTACCATTAATATATTTTTGTGTCCATTACTGAAATACATAAATATGTCAGTCTTTAAGAGGCATCATGAAATGGATCACACAGATGGATCTCACAGCAAAATAAGCTTACCTGTCGGCACCATAGCTTTTGAAATATCTGTAGGTAGGCCAACACCATCAGACACAGTGGGGCCATATATGTAACCAGGAAAAAACAAGTGTGATACATTTTGGGGTAGACTTCGGCTGCAAAGAAAACAAAAAAGGACTTGAATAACATCTCTTTTGATCTTCTCTATGTGAGCTCATTTGAAGTTGTTAGTTGCTATGTAATACATGCAACAAACATATTGTAAAATTAAAGGGCTGAATAGATAGGATCATTTCAAAACAGGAGCCTTTCCTCCAAAACATTCAAAGCACATTATTAACCAAGGCCACTCAGATCCTAGCATGTTTTGCAAGTGGTGTCAAGCCTTTAGGGTAGGGTGTTCCACAGGTAGGGTGTCACACGTGTTCACGTATGTAGGTGTTGTTAATCCGAGGTAGGTTCCTGAATTTTCAAACACTCAAGAGATCCACTAGAGAATGTTAACATTCACCTAAATTAGATTTCCAGAGGGTTAGCCATTAACATCTGCTTCAGCAAAGTAAGAGTGTCTTATGGCACCTTAAAGATTCACAAGTTTATTATTATGGCATAGGCTTTCATGGCCTGGAGCCCACTTCACATTAAGGTCAACACAAGTTGAAGATGCCCACATGATTTTGCTCCATGGGGAGGCCTGACAATTTCTGAAACTGAGATAGAGTACCAGTCTCCTGGATACTGTATTTTTCGCTCCATAATACGTACCTGACCATAAGACACACCTAGTTTTTAGAGGAGGAAAACAAGAAAAAAATTATTATGAACGAAACAGTGGATGTATGATTTTTGTGGTTCATTCTGTGGCCACAGACATGTGATTTGATAATTAAAAAATAATTTGGTAATTAAAAATAGTTCCCTGAAGAAGGAGGAAGGAATTTACTTAAGGACAGACCAAGCCCTCTTCATCTAGGAGGTGTTTTTGGCTTAGAGTCTAATATGCTGTTGGCTTTTCAGCATCAATTGAAGACATACCTTTTCAACCAGGTTTTTATAGGGTTTTGATTTAGCCCAGCTAGCTCTATATCAGTTGTTAATCTGCTGCTCTGTGAACAAGCAAATCAGATTCTAATGCTTTAGTTATGGTATTTTAATATTTGTTTAGAGAAGTACATATCCTTCAGAAAATCTAAATTTCTTGCAAAGGCTCTACAGATCCATGCTACAAAATTCAAAGGAGGGATGGGAAATGATGTATCTTTTAAAGGTTAAGAAGTAGAAATGCAAATCACTACTATATTTTTTTTATGTGTATATTGGCTGTTTGCTAAAACACAATAAACTGACTGACGTACGGTAGTTTTAGACTGTCTCATAAAGGCAGTATAGGAAAAGAACAAATATCAGCCTTCTTCAAATTTTAAAATTCTCCGAATCTCATCTAGGATTACATTTTCGTGCAGCGACATCAGCTTAGTATGGTAGAAAAATGAAAAAGATGTTCCAACCCTGGAGGATTATAAGGACCCTGATATGTCAAATTTTTGTTCATTTTGGACATGTATTAGTATATAGGCCACTAAACTGTACTGCAAATAGAGGATACTTTAAATCTCTGTAATGAGAAACAGTTTGTCAGAAAATTCTCTTCTGAGCCATGATAGGGATCAATGGTTGAGCAGTACAGTGGAACCTCATGTTACTACCATCCTCCTTACGAACACTTCGGGTTACGAGCTCCACTAACCCAGAAGTAGATGCTCCTGTTTGCGAACTTTGCCCTGGGATGCGAGTGGAAGTTGCGCCTCATTTAAGAATGGTTTCGGGTTACAAACGGACCTCTGGAATGAATTAAGTTCGTAACTGGAGGTACCACTGTATAAGGCTATTATGTAAAAGACCAAGACCACAACTGTGTTGGTTATGGTACAGAGTTGCTGTAGCAGAGGGCAAGAGTGATTCATCTTCAGGCCCATCTGCTGGGGCCACCATATGGGAAATGCCAAAGCTTTATGGGCCTACCGTAGTGTGAGCTGTTCCTGTGGGGTCCAACTGGCAACCTAGCAGTGGCTGCCCTGCTAAGTTAGGACTAAAGCCTTGAAGCACCACCCCCAAAACCATTTATGGGAGTGCCCCATAAGCTGTGGTCCTGCCCAATGCCCTCTGCTACTAGAGTTGTGGTAAGAAGAGTAAAATACACCTAACATACAAAAACCTATTTTGCTATGAGAAAGGCGGAAGCTTCACAGTTGCCAGTTGATCAATGCTGTAAGTAAAATTCCTTTCTGGTTCTGTCAACCACAAATTATTGAAGAATGTCATACAAATGATGGGGAGAACCTCTTTTTCCTCTCATTTGTGTTAGTCACATGCTGCTACAGCAATCGGCAAGTTTCTACTTGCCCTGAGAAGCAGAACTGAATTGAACATTGCAGCACATTTTAGTTCCCAGCTAATAAGGGAACTGGAAGTGCATAGAACTAACTAAGAAAGCTTAAATATCCCATTGCCATTAAAATTCTCTGCAAAAACAAAGGACAGCTGATCCACAGCAGCCAGCAATGGTGATTCAAGGAAACGTGGGTGCTGGCCATAGCACAGAGATTGATTCCAGGCAAGAGTAAGATGAAACAAGCTTTTACTTAGAATTGTGCAGAGCATCATTCTGAGAGTTACCGGTAATTACAGGATTATTTAATCTCAATACCAAGAAAACAGGTAATAGGCATTTCCCTAGCATAATGGGGTTCCTAACTGGGCTATGCAAATTTTGTGAGTGTGTGTGTATTTGTTGTTGTTGTTTAGTCATTTAGTAGTGTCCGACTCTTCGTGACCCAATGGACCAGAGCACGCCAGGCACTCCTGTTTTCCACTGCCTCCCGCAGTTTGGTCAAACTCATGCTGGTAGCTTCGAGAACACTGTCCAACCATCTCGTCCTCTGTCATCCCCTTCTCCTTGTGCCCTCCATCTTTCCCAACATCAGGGTCTTTTCCAGGGAGTCTTCTCTTCTCATGAGGTGGCCAAAGTATTGGAGCCTCAGCTTAAGATTCTGTCCTTCCAGTGAGCACTCAGGGCTGATTTCCTTCAGAATGGATAGGTTTGATCTTCTTGATGGTATACAATGAAAGTCTAAAGAAGAGGGAGATCATGTCTTGGGAGGTCAGGAACAGCAAGTGGAAGTGGCATGGCGTAGAATAAATCCTTTTGACTTTGCAGCTGACTAGATTGCTAAACTAATGTTCAGAAGCATTTGGAAGCACCTAGCCATCCAAAGACATTGGTTACGCCATCGCCTTGCTAAAAGATGAGGATGTAGAAAACAATGGAGAGCAACCTTGAAATCAAGGTTGTGAAGCTTAGATTTCCAAAATTGTTGGCCCCCTGGGGTAAGAGGCAGAAGGCCAACTAGGATTGTTAGGAACACAGGAAGCTGTGTTCCATGGAATGCCTTCCATTGGTCCATCTACAGTATTGTTGACGTTGACTGGTAGCAGCTTTCTGGGGTTGCAGACAGGAGGTCTCTTCCAACTCTACCTAGAGATGTTGAGGACTGAGCCGAGGACCTTCTGCATGCAAAGCAGATGCTCTACCACTGGACTGGACTGGGCTACCACTCTACCTTCACCACTTGCAGCCTGGTCAGAACCTTGTGGAGTAAGGAAAAGTATTGAACTGTGAGGTGAGGATCTAGGATGGAATCTGGCATATAAGGGGTTGAGCCACAGCAAATCTGATGGGTTGTGGAAGAAGCCAGCCAATGCATGTAGCAGGTTATGGGGTGGTGCCAGACAGAATTGGGAGGTCACAGACTTTTGAAGCCCAGTGCCTGTTACCTCCTGATGGTCAGACCAGTGAAGTACTGGGTGGTTGGTAGTCCTGCTTTAAGGGCTTTGTACAGAATTCTTCAATGGTGTGAATCTCCCAAAGTTTCTATAAATATGCATGAATTACCCGTTTCCAGCACCTGCAACTGTAATGTTATCTGGTTAAATCTGTATCTTTCACATGAACCAGTTGGAGTCGTTTTTCTCTTAGTGCACAGAATATATAAGAAGGTTCAGTAACTGTCTAGGTCTGAAAAGAAACATTGCTGTGTCAGGGAGCCAGAACTGTAATTGAAATTTTACTGCAGGGGAAATTACCATTATCTTAAGTATTTGAGCTTTCAACCGGCAGGACTCAGGAAAGCTTATAAAGAGCCACCACCTGCCAGCACGGTGACCTTCAGGCAGCATAGTGCAAGTATAATTGCAGCATTTATTTCAACAACCATTGGAGGTTTATGGCTTCTAATTTAACATCTTTAGCTTTTTTTAAAAAAAAAAACAAAGGGAGAAAAATGTAGAAGCTGCCAGGCTGGGTACAAGTCGATGATGGATCAAGATGGACGAAGAACGAGCCTTTTCCTTTGAAGTGGTCTCAATCAGAGCGGGGATGCATTTGGAGGTAGAACTTCAAAGAAAACCCAGGGCACATACTTCACATAACAGTTGCTTAAGGACCTTTGCGCTTTAAGTAGAACTAAAGATTCCACCAATGTAGCAATTATTACATCTGACTGACAGGATGGGTAGGAGTGTGGGAGAGATGAAGGTTTCATCATCAAGGACCACAAATCCTTGGATGCTGGGTGCTGTGTTAAAGCATCAGTGAAATTGCTGAATGGCTCTCAATGCCTTGATTCAGCTGTGTGATTGCCTGTGCATATGTGAGGCTGGTGGTGAACTCATGACCCAACAGTTACTACATGCTGATCATGTAACTGCAGACCCTGTTTTGTGATACTGTGATCAAGCATATCAGGGCATGCCCCTAAAGGGGAAATCCTTTTTGCTAGGTTGTGTTCCATGTTGAGTTGGGATCCCATTGCTAGTCCCATGCACTCACAACAGGAAATTGTGAGGTATTATTGACTTTGGTCTTAGTATCTCCACCAACTGAACCTTGTTGACCGCCATAGCTGGAAAATGGAGCACTGGAAAAGTAGAGACATTTCAGCTTCCTCACAGAACTCATCTCTGGGAGCCTGAAAAACAAATTAATTCCAATATTCTTCCAGGGAAGTGACAGTATGCTTGACACCGCCTTCTGGCAGGGATGGAGAAATTTCTTCCTCTTGGATTGGCCAATTGGGAAATGAGCAAGGGGAGTCTTAAAAGCTGAGGTCGCTGTGATGTCAGCAGGACTGACTTCCAAGCAAATGGATAAAGGGTTCAATCTTTCCCTTCACATACTGTTTTTTCTATATGTCAGGTGCCTTTTGTGTGTGTGCTGCTGAAGAATCTAATCATTCAATCCCCCGACAGTCCAAAGTAAATTAAATAGCAAAACAAAGTAAATATTAAATGCATAGCAAACAGCAGAAGTAACACATACACACACTAAAAACCCAAAGCCCTGGGGAAATAAAAATATCAGAGCCAAGAAGAGTTCCTCCTTGGCCCTGAGCAAACCTCCTAGGAGAGGGAATTCCAAAGGTGGAGTGCCACCATCGAAAAGGCCCTATCTTCACCTGACTTCTAATGGCACAGAGACCATCCGAATGATCAGTCATTTTACTTGTATGCCACCTTCTGATGTGCTTCTGAAACTGCTCTGAATGCATGGGCTTGCAAGGTCTTGTGGAAGATGGCAGTCCTTAAGGTATCCAGTTACCTTTGGTTATTCTGGTGGTACCTCTGGTTATTTTGGGCTATCTAAAGGCCTGTGAAATTTCACAGATGAGGTGGTGGTTGGGAGGGAGAGAGTGTTTGCATGTTTCCCATAGGCACCTGACCAGTTCCTGTGAAAACAGCAGACTCATCCCACGTTTCTATGTTCACTTGTTCAAGTCGTAAGCTATGTCAACGTAGGCACAATATAGGCCCAACACAGACACCAACATAGGTGTCAAAGGGCACACTTCTGGACTGTAGAGAGCTTTCCTCTTAACAATAACCACATTGTACCCAACACTTGTACCCAGCAGTGCTGGTCAGTGGGGTGGAGAACAGCTCACCTAGTTTCGCAATGTAGAGATCATTTCTGGTAACTGAGACACAGAGGAGAAGGGTGGAACCAGTGAGGAGGTCAGCATTGTGTGAATGCAGTGGTGGAACCAATCTGATGCTCCCGCTGCTGCGTCCACACCGCAGAGACCTCCCTCCTACCTTGCCCCCCTCTCTCTCTCAGTTATAGGAAGCAACGCAAGCAATACTGACCCACCCACTCCACCTCACTGACTGCTACTGCTTGTACCTAAGAAATCCAGTTAGAGATTAAAGGCAGCTAAAAGCCAGTGCCAGAGAAGATCATGCAAAGTCCTGGTTTCAACCAATACCCAATAATTCAGGAGATAAGATGTTCATACAGTGGGTTTGTTAACTGTATAGTTTTCCTTCCATAATGTCCATGTGGGCAATTCCAGTCCCGTGGTGAAAAACACTCACCTCCCCAGTGTTCATCGCAAACCGTGAATAAGATGGTTTTGTTGGCTAACGCTGGCAAGACATGGCTGCACTCCATGACAAACGCCTGGGGGATCATTATAATGCAGGACACAATCCAGATAATGATAATGCTGTTCCTGGCCCGCTTGGCTGTGCTTTTAAACATCAAAGGGTGACAAATTGCATACCATCGATCCAGGGCGATGCAGCTCAGGGTTAGCACGGAAACAGAGACCGACACAGTCTAGGAAGGGGGGAAAGGAACAGAAGGGCAACAAAGCATCAGTAAAAACAAGGAGGAGGGAAATGTTGCTTTGGCACTTTTAACGATTCTTCCAGAATCACATTAACTTTCCCCTCCATGGGCACAATCCAGCTAACAAAAGTCACCTCTCAGTCCTGTTAAAAGCAAAGGAATGGACCACCCATGTGCTGTTTAGGGGTTTTTCGTGACTCCCATACCCAATTTATTTGGGGGGGTGGGGTGCATAGGAGGGGGGGAGGGGAAGTCTTTGCACAGGATTGGTTAGGTAAATGCCATCTAGTGTGCCAATCATCTGCAAATGAAAAGCAGTTCTTTTTTCTTAAAGCACATTCTTGTTATGAATCTGGGAGTGCAAGACACACTAAATTCCGGATTTAGCTAGTGGTAGGTTTTAATTTAAGTCTGGAGTATCAAAGACAGGAAATGGCCAGACTCATGTGTATTTAGTATCAATCAAGTGTGTATTTGAGCCATGTTAGATCTTGCTAATCCTTTAATTAATCCAAGTGTTAGAGCTAATTAAGTCAGAACTGTCCTACTGCAAGTGAGGTGTTAGCAATGAGTCATTAGCAACTACAGTATATAAGGGATTGAAGAAATTTACCATAGAGTGCAAAGAAATAAGCCCCTTTGACTGGAGAGATGAAAGTCAAGATCTTAGAGAAGGGAGGGGAAGTAATGTGGGCCAGAAATTGAGTGAGGTATAATAAAAATAATAATAATAATAATAATAATAATAATAATTTATTTATACCCAGCCCATCTGGCTGGGTTTCCCCAGCCACTCTGGGCAGCTGCCAACCGAATATTAAAAACAATACAGCATCAGACATTAAAAACTTCCCTAAACTGGGCTGCCTTCAGTTGTCTTTTAAAAGTAAAATAGTTGTTTATTGCCTTGACATCTGCTGGGAGGGTGTTCCACAGGGCAGGCACTACTACCGAAAAGGCCCTCTGCCTGGTTCCCTGAACCTTACTTCTTGCAGTGAGGGAAACGCTAGAAGACCCTCGCCGCTGGACCTCAGTGTCCGGGCTGGATGATGGGGGTGGAGACGCTCCTTCAGGTATACAGGACTGAGGCCATTTAGGGCTTTAAAGGTCAGCACCAACACTTTGAATTGTGCTCAGAAACGTACTGGGAGCCAATGAAGATCTTTCAGGACTGCTGTTATATGGTCTTGGCCAGCAGCCACTCCCAGTCACCAGTCTAGCAGCCGCATTCTGTATTAACTGAAGTTTCCGAGTCACCTTCAAAGGTAGCCCCACGTAGAGCACATTGCAGTAGTCCAAGTGGGAGATAACTAGAGCATGCACCACTCTGGCAAGACAGTCTGTGGGCAGGGAGGGTTTCAACCTGTGTACCAGATGGAGCTGATAAACAGCTGCCCTGGACACAGATTTGACCTGTGCCTGCATGGACAGCTTTGAGTCCAAAATGACTTCCCAGGCTGTGTACCTGGTCCTTCAGGGGCACAGTTATCCCATTCAGGATCATGGAGTCCTCCACACCCGCCTGCCCCCTGTACCCCAAGAACAGTACTTCTGCCTTGTCAGGATTCAACCTCAATCCATTAGCTGCCATCCATCCTCCAATTGCCTCCAGACACTCCCACAGGACCTTCACCGCCTTCCCTGGTTCCCATTTAAAAGAGAGGTAGAGCTGGGTATCATCCGCATATTGATGAACACCCAGCCCAAACCCCCTGATGATCTCTCCCAGCAGCTGCATGTAGATGTTAAAAAGCATGGGGGAGAGGACGGAACCCTGAGGCACCCCACAAGTGAGAGCCCAGGGGTTTGAACACTCATCCCCCACCACCACTTTCTGGAACGGCAGTGTCAAGCAAAAGTGTAGGAGGCAGAGAAAAATGGCTAGTGTCTGTTGAATCAAATGCCGTGCTTCTGGAGAAGGTAAAACCCCCTTGGAGTGTAATGCTGGGGACCCCCCCCCCCGCAGGCTCAGGTTGTGTGTATATGTGTGTAAATAAACCATGTCTCATAAAGAAACCACAGTCTTCACCGGGCTTCATTTCCCCAATGAAACATAGGCCCAGGTGGGAAATTTGTGCTTGGAATCTCGCACTGCTCTGGAGATTGAGGTGGCATGTTACATTATATTTAATGAAAGGATGCACTCTCTTCATCTAGCAGGTGCTTTGGAGGAAAGGCCTGCTGTGGTGGGAGAAATTCTATGATGGAGTGATGTGGAAGAAGGCCAATAAAACGATGAGAGAGTTTTGGATATAAATGAGACGAATGCTTTAACACCCCAAGAGGGCCTTGTTTCTCCCATAGCTGCAGCACTGGATTGTAAAAAGGCACCAAACATTGCTCTGTCTGTCCTCTCCCAGTTTGCTGATTTTACACCATTGCTACCTCTGCTCCCAACTCTGCCTTTTTCTGTTGAGGGATCCATTTGCTGTCTTGCACTGAGCCCCTTAATCCCCCATCACCTCACCAGGAAGCTAGTTTGGCTATTTCCCAGAATTAGAAGGTTTAATTAACTTTTAACACTTGCTGGATCCAAAGATTAGAGGGGTCAGGCACCTGACCTCAATGCATAACACTATACATATTTATATTAAAGTGTAGCCTGCCCACTCCCCACCCCAACCTGGAAAACAATACCTGCAAATAAGGGATCACCTTGCACAGGCTGTCCCCAAGGAACCACGTCTCGGTGATATCCACCACTAACGTTGCTGGAAGACAAGTGATGGTGACAAGGACGTCAGCTAGTGAGAGGTTGACTATGAAGTAATTGGTGACTGTTCTCATGTGGTGGTTTTTCCATACTGCAACACAAACTATTTGCAAAAAAGAATCAATAGGGACATCAGGAAACAACAAATCAGAACAATGCAATTATCTTGGTCCAAGAGGAGTGACCAGAAAAGGCAAGGCTTGGGAACCAAGTTTCTCAAAGTTGTGCCTTCTAAGCATTACCTAATCTTTCATACCTTCTCCCAGTTTAAGATCCTCTCATTGGGTACACTCAAACTGTTTCGATGTCTCCTGCAGTGCTCAGGATCAGTTCAGGGTCATGGAGTGAAGGGAGGGATCTGCCTGGGATGCCCAAGCCATATGATTGTCTTGGAGGAAGAACAATTGCCTACATTCTTGGAGAAGGCACACAGAAGCGAATATACAGATGGGGGAACTCCCGTCATTATTAGTGACTTGGCTGAGAGCCTTCTCATGCCCATCAACATCAATACTGTTGCCAGGAGGTTTCAAATGAAAATGAGAAAAAGGTACCTCTGACAACAACAACAACAACAACAACAACAATAATAATAATAATAATAATACCTTTATTGTCAATGTACAACCTGTGTAGAGTGACATTAACCGAGCCTCCCTGCCCCCGCAAACACTCAATCTCATTGCACTCTGTGCGCTTGTCGCACAACACACCAACCCCGAAAATCAGTTGCACTATATTATTTTCCCTTCAGCAGCCCATGGATAGAAACTGTTTTTTAACTTGTTGGTATGACTGATTATACTTCTATATCTCCTGCTCGAGGGTAGAAGATTAAAGAGGTGCTGGCCGGGGTGTGAATGATCTCTGATAATTTTTCTCGCTCATTCAAGTCCTGCTCATTCAATGTCCTACTATTATGCTGCTCAGCAGGGCTCTATTTAAGCATTCAGTTTGCTCATATCAAGGTGGAGGCCTGCTGTCTAGTCCCACCAGTGTTTGCCTGCATGCTGAGTTGTAAGGGGAAGGTCTACAGTAAGGAGCCTTCTGTACAGGCTCCCTGTGTGATTTAGAACTGTGAATATTCGGGGGGGGGGAGCATTTCACACAGGGAACTTGCATGAGTTCAGAGGACTTCCAAATCCAGAGTTCTGTTCTTCAATTCATGGAGGTCAGCTGGCACAGGAACATGAAAGCATGGGTCTACTGTGCACATGTATGCACACACACACACACACACACACACACCACTCTCCCCAAGGGATTTAGAATCATTTCAGTAAAATGAATGTTCAAATAATGGCTCATGGGCTTCAGCACTCTGTTTCAGTAGCGTCCAATGAAATGCCTCTGAGCAGCTCACAAAGCAAGACATGGCTGCAGTACCGCTCTCCCAGGACCAGGTATTCCAAAGCAAACTGTGATCATATCTCATAGGTTTCCTTATCTGAATTGAGTTCCAATTTTTAAATTCAAGAATCCACCATGAGATTATTATTTTGGCTGGATTACAGAATGAGAAGGGATTTGCGCCGTCTTGGATTTGGCTCAGTGCTTATCTAGTTGATTGATGATGCCTGCAATCCTGAACAGACTTACTATGGAGGAAGCCGCAATGAACTTGGTGGGATTTACTCATGAGTAGGAATGGGGAAGGAACTTGGTTTGGTTCTCATGCTTAATTCACATTTTCCAATACAACGCATGAATGCAAATATAGCTGTTCTGTGAAATTCACACTTATACAAATATTGAGAGGCAGTTCTCCAACCAATATTGGAAGAGAGTATGCATTAAAATGCATATAGCAGTGAAAGTAACAGACAACAAATAACTGACAATTTTGCATATAGTTGGACGGGATTTTGGCATCAGATTTTCTAATCTGCATTTGACTAGCAAAATCATGACAACAGAAATATTATTCTCCCTCTTAGGATTTATTTTGCAGTTTGGAGGAGTAGGGAGGTGGGGAAATCACTTTCTTGCTTGAAGAACCTCTGAAGTGTTTGCAGTTCATTCATTTTGCCACAATGTGTCAGCCTGCCCCTTTTCATCCTGGCAATAAAACAATGGTGAGGATTTGCTGCTAGCAAAGTCCTGGTCCTTGCATTAGGGGAATTCCAGCTTCTAAGAACAGGTCTCAAGAATGGGTCCTCCCCCACACCACAGAAGGAGCATTACGTGTGCAAAAAACCACCACTATATTCCTTTCTCCACCATTTTTTTGCTGCACAGATACCACCACTGAGACAGATTCCGTGACAAAATAACAAGCAGAGGTGCCCATGTGCTTGATGGAAGAGCATTCTCCACCAGCATCACCACCAGCACCACATATTCAAGGATGGTGAGGGGTCCAGGCCTGCTCCTTAACCCCAGGCTCAAGAATAGGTTTATACTAAACCTAAAAAGGTAAAAGGTAAAGGACCCCTGACAGTTAAGTCCAGTCCCAGATGACTCTGGGGTTGCAGCACTCATCTCGCTTTACAGGCTGAGAGAGCCAGCATTTGTCCGTGGACAGTTTTTCCGGGTCATGTGGCCAGCATGACTAAGGCGCTTCTGGCGAAACCAGAGCAGTGCATGGAAACACCATTTACCTTCATGCCAGAGCGGTACCTATTTATCTACTTGCACTTTTGTCATGCTTTCGAACTGCTAGGTTGGCAGGAGCTGGGACTGAGCAACGTGAGCTCACCCTGTCGTGGGGATTTGAACCGCTGACCTTCTGATCAGCAAGCCCTAGGCTCAGTGGTTTACACCACAGCACCACCTGCGTACCCAATACTAAACCTACCGAAGGGCAATAAAATGCCAGCTGTCATGGAGCATAAGAAATGTGTGAATAACTCAGATGCATGTCACCCAACAGTCCTGCTACCATACTCCCAGGAACAGGCATAGCACATCTGGAAGCACACTTCCAGAAGCAGGCACTCCACTTTCGGTGGCAGAGGAGGAGGAGAAAGAGTCGGTGAAGATAAGGTGACAAAGTGTGGGGGGGGCAGCCACAGCGAATGTGGCAGGCAGATGGTGGCTGCGGTGGGAAGGCGGCATGATGTGGGGTATGTGTGTGTGCCCTGGATTTGTGTGAGAAGATGTCGGAGGGCATGTCTTGGGCAAGAGTTTTGCCGGATTGCTGCATGCATTACAGCACTGTGTACAATATCTAATCTCACAGGGTAAAACAAACACAGATCCCACAGATACGCATAGTTTGTTTTTAAACAATATTTTTTCAATGCAATGCATTCTGCCCAGGTCAGAGATCTGCTGCACTCCTCAGGTGCACTCCTCACCTTGTGCACAGCTGCTGCCAGGCCAGGCCAAAAGAGATGTGGAGAGGGGCAGTTTCTGCCACGGTGGGTCAGGCAGGTGAGCAAGTGTGGCCTGGACGAGAGCATAAAGCTCTTCATGGCATTCTTGGAGCAATGTGCAGCTTCTTTGGCATGAACCCACAGCAGCAGCAACAGCAAAAAAGCAACAGCCTCCCCCCGAACCAAAGTAAGACACTTTTCAGTTTTGTCAGGTGCTATTTATAAAATTGCAATGCTCAAGTGTCCTCTGTAAGTGTCTGCAAGGAAGATGGATGGGGAGAAAACCAGAACAAGATGGCTGCTTCCTTGTGACCATACCCCCCCCCATGGCATCCTAGCTGCTCCACCAGGTCTAGTGGACACCAGCTGCCACTGGGTAGATTTGATGAATTTATGACTTTTCTGGCTTGCCTTTCTTCCCTCCTGGAACTCAAGGACACATGCATGGAGTTCCCACTTCCCATGTGGCCCCCTATCCAGGTGTAGGCCAGGCCCATACCTGCTTAGCTTTGGCATATCGCTTCAGAACATGGCCTGGGATGGATGCCAAAATGTCCAGCTAGCTTGGCGAAAACCATGACCAAGTCAGCCGTATTGCGATACCATCATCCATGAGCCAGTTGTGAAATGGGAGTGTAGATCTCTTTATCTAGCTTAATAGAACACTTAAAAATATGGCCTTTATTCATCTACTGAAGAAATGAAGGCCATTCTTGAAGGACATCTTACTAAGAGCCTGTTGAGTTATAAAGGCCTGTGCACTTAAACAGTAACCAAAAGAAAAAACCCACTCACGATTTCTGTGGTTAGATGGGTTTCGAGTGAGGTGAGAGGTGAACCATTATTAAATCTGCTGACTGAGTGCATGATAAATTCCAAGTGCTGATCGGAAGTTAGTAAGGAGCACAGACATAGCAGGCCTCTCTCCAAGGGAGCAGTAACAACACACTTTGCAAAACACTGGCTGCTTCAAGGCTCCATCTAACAAAAATCATAGCAGCACATTGGCAGGGTCTATGATGGAATTTTTTTTATATCAGCTGTAAATCTCTCTGGATGATGCCTTTCTCTTTGCTCCGTGTGGCAAGCGGTTCTTGACACCTGCATAAGAGGTCAACCATGGTTGTAAAGCCTGACCCGCCAAGGGACAGCCCCAGATTTACAGAAGCTGTCCTGGTTTCTGATTTGAACCCAGAGTGTCCCACTTTTCCTTGGGATGTCACTGTTTTCATTGGAGAAATGTTGGAGGGTATGGAGTTATGCAAGCCTCGAGCCAAGGAGAGAAGTAACTTTACAACCTTAGAAGACATCTGAAGGCAGCCCTGTATAGGGAAGCTTTTTATTGTTTAATGTTTTATTATGTTTTTATATACGTTGAAAGCTGCCACAAGTGGCTGGGGCAACCCAGGCAGATGAGTGGGGTATTATTATTATTATTATTATTATTATTATTATTATTATTATTAAATTGGATATCCCTATTTTTGTCAGAGAAATGTTGGAGGGTATATAAAGCACAGGATGCAATTCAAAGTCCAGGCAAGTTAATTCACATATACAAGAATTGGACAGAGCAACTGGTGCAAGGTGCAGATGATGGAACATTCTCATCTTCCTTAACATGCAAAGTGAATGGAGTCACCTTTGGGTACACCAGTTGTTAAATCGCTTGTTATGAGTTTCCAGTCAGCTGACAGAACTCAGGAAAGTTCATAGTTGAAATTAATTTGCAGATCCAAAAGGCCACTGGAAAATTT